TAGTATAAGTAAGGGAAAAGGCAAAATGTGAATTGTTTCCCTATGTGCTTAGCTATATGAAGATCAGTGGATATGTTTTGGAGATTAGATGTGATATAGTACAAGAGCCTGTATTTTGGAATTTTTGGTTATGTAATTTGTAATTTAGTTTTTGTACTTTGGACCTTTGTGCGATTAAACATGTATTCTCTGTATGAATTATATGTTATATGCAATTCGAGTTTTGGGGTGTTACAGGCACGATGGTCCCCTACGTGTTATTCAGAAACAATGTTCAGTAAGCTATGTGCTTCTAAAAATGTCAAGTCTGAGTTTGGTTAAAAGAAACTATGTAGTTTATGAAATTTCTAAGGTCTTCAATTCAAAGTAGACTTCAAAAGGCCATACTTGATTAACTTCAGAAGGCAAGAGCCTTCAAAGGGTCAAACTTGAATTCAGAAGGTAAATCACCTTTTGAACTTTAGTGCATATACCATCTTGTAACAACCCAATAATTGCTCAATTACTTTCGGTAACTGAAACCTTTTAAAGGTGCATTCATTCTCGATCTCCTTTAATATTAAAGACATTACACTTCTTTATGTTTATTCTCGAGAAATTTTGTGCAACCTAGACAAAAATGTTACCAAAAGTTCCCCTATAGTAACGGTTTTGAAAAACCGATCCTTTATGTTGTGATGGTTTTTAGAAACCGTTCCCATAAAGAACCATTTAGTAATGGTTATTGTATAAACCATTGCTACATGCTGTAACAGTTTCAAAAAAGCATTGCCAAAACTTATATATATATATATATATATATATCAATGTTTATTTGAAACCTGTTTTCAAAAGTCAGCATGCTTATGGTAATATTTTGAAAAAGTTGTGTCACCAAAGGGAAGTTTGTGGCAATGGTTTTGAAAAAATTATGTCATTGTATGCCATGCTAAAATAACGATTTTTAAACATCTACGTCACCATAACGGGTCTTGTCAAACCTTATGGATCATATTAAGCCTAACTGAGTTGTAATGTACCTTAACCATCTTTTCAGACCTTAATGGATCATATTAGTCCTAATTGAGTCATGATGTACCTTAACATGTCTTCTCTGGCCTTAATGGATCATATTAGGCCTAACTGACTCATAATGGACGTTAATGGGTCTTGGTGGACCTTAACGAGTTATCTTAGGCATAATTGGGTCATAATGGATCTTAACGGGTCATATTAGGCATAATTGAGTTATAATGGACATGAATGGGTCATAACGTGGTTATAAAGTTGTTAACATAACTTGGGTTACTAATTTACAGGCGTTATGCTGCTAATTTTTGTTCTTATCATATTTTGCAATTGTAGTATCGTTACTATCAGTTGATTGTCCAAAACTATGGGGAGGACATGGCTTCTCAGCCACAATTAGGGACGTTGATTTGCGGACAGAGGCTGCCAGAGGAGTGAAGAAGGGGAAGATTACGGGCTTGGTGCGCCAGACTATCCACAATACGTGATGACTAGTACCCATAGTTCCAACTCCAATACCATATGGTCCTCTGATGAGGTATATATATATATGGATTTGGTATCATGTGAGACCAATCTGTGTGAGACCCGTGAGGCCCCATTTTTACACTTGAACCTTAACTGTAGAACACTGTGAAAGTAACCTTCACGGTGTTTTTCATTTGAAGGTTCAGATTTTTTTTACCATCACGACGTTTTGCTATGAAGTTTCAAGTGTAAAAATATGGTATCACGGGTCTCACTGAAACATTAATGAGCAGATTACGTAGCAGCAGATACATCAACAAATATAACAGCACGTACAGCACAAATGAGACAATCTCTTGGAATATTCATGGGGTTTTCGATGGATTTATTCTATCGAAAACCCACATTTTCGACCAATATTTCACCGGCAAGAATTTCTATTCGAAAAGCCGTCAAAAATAACATTTTCGACATAATTTTTCTTCTAGAATACCCCTCTGTTTTGTAGTTTATCTCATATTGCGGTGATGGTTTTAAAAAAACACATCACCATATGTATGCTATAGTGATGGTTTTGATTACATCTACATATGTAATGCTAAGGTAACGGTTTTGAAAAATAAATGTCATTGTATGTCATGTTATTGTGACGGTTTTGAAGAATAAATGTCACAGTACATCATGCAATATGTCATGCTGCGATCAGTGGCGAATCTAGAAATTTTTGTGATTGGGAGCACACTCAAGGGTGTAAAAAAATTCCAAACCGAACAACGCATCCTAACTTAGAGGGTTTCAGGTTATTCGTTGTTCGGCTTAAACCCACTCTACCTATTAAATATTAGCAAATGCATTATATATATATATATATATATATATATATACACACTGTACACACAAATTAAATAGTAAATTAACAACCCCACTCAAATCTTCTACCTACTCACTACTGTTTTGTCCTCAATCTTCTACCTGTTTGTCCTCCACTCCAATCTTCTACCTATTAAATATTAATAAATTAAGAAGCCTCAACAAAACCCAGTCCAATCTACCTGTTTGTTCTCCAATCTTCTACCTACTTCTTACACACTAACTTTACCCAAAAATTAAAAAGTCTCAACCGATTCATAAGACAAGCAGCAAGAAGCAGAAGCAAAATGAAGCAAAATGAAGCAAATGCAGAGCACTAGAGCAGTAACCGTAAGCAAAATGAAGCAGATGAAGCACAGAACAGTGGCAGATGAATCATGAAGCAGTAATGAACAGGAAGCAGTAACCAAGTACTAACCGTATGTAAGAACAAGCAGTAATCGTGCCCCTTCTTTTCTCCGACGATGCGGTTTTTGTTTTCTGGTTGATAGCCCGGAGAAGAGTGCCGGAGGAGGACGGTAAATCTTTAATCGCCGGCAAGGTGGGGGCCTCTTGAAAAATCTAATGGGGGGAAGTGAAAGTATGAAATGTAAAATCCCCATTTTTAACCTAGGTAATTTTTTTTTGAGTTTTTGACTGGGCCCTCTCCCCCCCCCCCCCCCCTTTTACACACGGGATCCGCCACTGGCTGCGATGACGGTTTTGAAACAAAATGTCACCTTACCTCATGCTATGTGATGGTTTTGAAATATAAACTTCATCATACGTCATGCTACTGGGACGGGTTTGCAAAACAAATATCATTATACGTCATGCTATGATGACAGTTTAAAAAATAAATGTGATTGTACTTCATGATACGGTGATTGTTTAGAATCTACGGTGATGCTTTAGAAAAATGAACTTAATCATATGTCATGATACAATGACGGTTTAGAAAAATATGCGTTACCGTACTTCAGGATAAGATGACGGTCTCGAAAAATAAATGTCATCGTACATCATGGCACGGTGATGGATTAAAATAAATGTCATTGTACATCTTTCTACTGTGGCGGTTCTGAAGAATAAACGTCACTGTACGTCATGCTATTTTGACGGTTTTGAAAAATAAACGTCACTGTGCGTCATGCTACGGTAACGGTTTAAAAAGTAGATGTCACCATACGTCATGCTATGATGACATTTAAAATAAATAAATACATCATATGTCATGGTATGTTGATGGTTTGAAAAAAATGAACATCAACATATGTCTAGCTACAGGACATTTTTGAAGAATAAACGATACCGTATGCTATGGTATGGTGACGATTTTAAATAATAAATGTAATCGTATGTCATGCTTCATTGACGGTTTTAAACAATAAAGGTCACTGTATCATGCTACATGGTGACGATTTTAATAATAAATGGCATTGCATGTCATGCTTCATTGACTGTTTTGAAAAACAAATGTTATCGTATGTCAAGCTACGGTGACGGTTTTGATAAGTAATCCAACCCGCAGGATTTCGTTTCCCCTCGTTGACGTATGTCATTATATAGTGACGGTTTTGATAAATTTATGTCATTGTATGTCATTATACAATGTCGGTTTTGAGAAGTTATATCACCGTATGTCATGTAGTAAAGGTGGGCGCAGACCGGGCTAAAAAAGCCTCGTTGGTCAAAGTCTTTGTAACACCGGTCGAAGCCTCGTGTTGGCATCTCCCTTTGGAAATCTTTTTCTAAACAAACCGATCTTTCAACCTTCTATTTTTGGTACATATTCTTAAAGTATATGCTCCCTCCGTTCTAAATTAAGTGTCCAAACAACTACTTTCAGAATAGATAACTAAAGTTACAAATATACCCTTAATTAATGTACAAATATTAAAGGGTTAGAGAATAGGAGTCAAAGAGAACAACAACCAAATAAGAGAATAAAAAAGCAGTCGAATTACATATACACGATCTTAAATTCTTTATTGTTACTGTGATTTCTCACAAGACCCAATTCCCCTCAATTCAACATGACCCTCGTCTAATTTTCAAAGGTTTGTTCACAGTTTCAAATCTTTTTCTCTGTAAAATCACCGTGCACCAAACGTTTAAATCTCTAAACGAAGAACCCACACATAATCTTTCATCCTTTTTAACTATATATAAACCTACTTTCATGAATTTAGCATGAATTGTTGAAAAAAATAATCCAATAAGATAGATGAAAACAAAATAAAGATTTAATATTTATAAAGACTCTAATTATTTAACGGACAAAAATTAAGCCTTTTAGAATTCAGAACCACCAACACTTCAACAAAGTGTCAAAACACCAAGAAGTTTCTCCACTCTAGACAGCCACTAGTCCTGTTCAGCTTTCTGTTTCAGCACTCGGGTCATAGTATTTTCCTTTGATTTCTTTCCACTTCTTATGCTTTCTTTCTAACTCTTTCAGACTGTGTCTTTGCTTGAACGAAATAAAATGGACAGTGGCGAATGCTTTTGCCAACTGATCTAAATTAATGAATGCTTAAGTTTTAGACATACAACACAAAACTATGCACGCTACACTCCCAAAAAAGATGTCATTTTAGTTTTTAAACATAAAAGGCAAAATAAACATGCTACTTTTAAAATGGAAGAAGATGTGAAGTCCTCAGTTACATCTTTCACCATCTATCACTGTTCCTCGATTGTGTGCCGCCCCACCGTTGCAACGCTTGTTTACTTCCAGAACCAGAGTCTGTCCTCACAGACCAGAACTGATCATTCGGGTTGTTGGCCATAATTGCGGGATATGTGGTTGATTGTGTAAACACCCTTCGGCTTTGCCCCAAACCACTGTCGCTAGACGTCTGTTGACCGTTGCTATTTCCACATGAACCTCTTCCATTAGTATCCCAAAAAGAAGGGACACTGGTTTGCTCATTTAGTACTGTCGTTCCTGTGGCATTGTAACCCCTACCTCTTTGGCTCCAGCCACTTCCACAACCTTTCACCATAACTCCAGGACATGACAAGCTTCTAAAACCAACACTGTGGTTTCTTTTAACTTCTTGAACATGATTATATGATCTGCAAACCAAAATTTTGCGAACATGTTAGCTCCAGCCGGAGGCACTGTAGTGAAAAAATCAGTTAAAAGTTGGTTAAACGAACCTGGTGACTTGCCAGCTGCCATGGTGCGGCTTGAAAGCATGCCACAAGGGCCTCTCCTCAATGTCTGATTCACTCACAAACTGTTTGATCAAAATTTTAAAGAGTTTCATCGATTACTTGAAAATTAAACGCTTAAACAAAAATGCAACTGCAATGCATCTACTTCATGCACTTGAACAAGATCCAAAAATGATGGATCTTTCATGAGATGATGAAAAACCAAGCCAATGTTAATGACATTGTTACTCGAGATGCCACTACAACAAAAACGAGTTTATAACATGCCACGAATATCTATGTGTCCTAATTTATTGATTTATAGGACTTAAGTATATAAGATCAAAAATATATGTGTTATAATAACTTTATGTGATGCTTTTAGGCGCCTTAAATAACTTTTTAGGACACTTTTGAAATAAAATGTTGTATTAACTTTTCCGCAAACACCATTTAAGAAAGGAAGGGAATCAATGGATAAAGAAAGCCAAGATCGTATACCGTTTCTGGGATGGTTACCCCTTCAAGCATGCGTGGTATATAGAGACAGCTGGTGTTCGGTGGATGATAATCTACACATCTGCAGTGTAGGAATATACATAAAAAGACCGAATAGACTAGATTGATCTAGTAATGCAACCGGCAAATTAAGAGCTAAAGCAACGGCTTACAAAACATCAAGATCGTTTGCAAGCCCATTGGAATCACTAACATTCTCGGACTCTTGCTCAAGATGGACAAAACCATTTATGTCTCCACTGAAAACCAAAACAAATTAGAGAAAATCATATACATCAGAGAACAAACAACCCAAAATTTCAATATTGGGCATCACTACCATAAGCCTGTATCAATCTTGATTGAGATATTTTGCTCGACAGAACCTTTGGCGTTGATAATTTGCTGCGCTAAATGTTCTGAACAATGTATGAACAACAGATCAAAGTTCTCTGCATTTCTCTTTGCTTCCTCCTCCTAAATGTAAATAAATAAACATGTTAACATAGCGGCATTCAGATCGAGTCTTGGTCAAATGGATATCTGTTTGAATTAATATCTTTTGGCCTTACGCTGAGTTCCTTCTCGATCTTCTTTGTCGCAGCAAGAAGGGGCTCCTCCTCAATAAAAGGAAGCTTGCAGACACCCTTTAGAAGGTGATGAAAACACCATAAGGTTATGTTAGGCAAAGAAAACACAGGTCTTAAAGGAAACACATAGATGCTTTTCTTCAACTTCAAAAAAAATCAGATGATGATTAGCCCCTAACCTCCCAAAAATAGGTTTTCCCATCTGTGTCGATCTCAAATTCTGAGTATAAGTGACAAAATATAAACCTTGTTAATTGTGTTTCTAAAGATATTAAACACAATGTATCTGTCAGATGAACAGGAATTACCAGTGGGATAGAAATCAAGAATGCTTGAATCCTCATCAGTCATGAGTGATTGATATGAAAGAGGAAGAGCATTTGCACTACATGAACAATTAAATTAGATATAACGAGTAAAAACATGAACCATTTATAAGAAGTTCGAGAACTAAATTACCTCATTGGCGGGAGGATTGCCATCAGCTGATCAAATGGTTTCAACGGCAATCCTTTTCGCAACACGGGTTTTGTATTTGAAAGACCTTCCAAATCAGAAGCAAATGGGCCATAATGGTATGGAAAAAACCTGGTGAGGGGAAGCATTTGTGCTCTCTACGGTTATTAAATAGTTGAAAGCAAAAGCGTATAAACTTTAACTCGATCAGATGTGTCGTACCATGTCCATGATGGAGCATCTGAGAAGTAATAGAGAAGAACCCAACACAGTCCTTCAGCATATTTTTCTACCTACAGAAAAAGAAAAAAATCTGCTTCACCAAACAAACAAAATGCATACTGCTAGTTTCGTTGTTAAATGTCTTACACGTGAAGAAAAAAATGCATCGCGTTCTATATACCTATTGTAACGCTTATTGATAGGAGGCTTTATCGTTTGGTCTTATAAATCTAAGTCTTGTTAAGTATGCTATTAGGATGCTTAGACATTTTAGGTGTCCTGTAAACCTAAATGCATGAACAATTAATTAATGTTGCGTTGCAGAAAACCGAATCATGTTGATAAATGAAGCAGTGGACATACTAAAATTTTCCTCATATTCTCCATATCTTGTTCGGTATCAGCAAAAAACTTGTATCTATAATACCGATTCTTCCATCCATGATCACCAAGCTTCACCTGAAGAAATTTAGTTGAAACTGTGATAAGTTCGTGGGAAATTAAGTCTGACGAGAATAATAATCTACGACTAGCAATTCATTTATTTTCAAACTAAAATCTGCAGAAAAGGCAAGCATGCTCGAGATATAGTACTGAAAAAGCATACATGAATCCCTGTCTTGGGAGAATTCTACTCCTCAATATTTATACAAGATTATAAGGAAACCGAATCTACAAATAAGGAACGATTACATAAATATATGCAACTTAGGAAACATAAATATATTATTAACATAATATATTACTATCAAGTACGAATATACCAAGTCTGTAACGCGACCATTCCTATATAAATATGATCTCTCACGAGCATAAGATTTCAATTCCCGCTTCAACATTTTGGTGTTCTCTACAATCTGAGCAAACAAGAAAAGAAAACATGTCATGTATCTTAAATATATGATTTGGAAAAAGAATAGCAAATATCGCCATAAAAGACAGGATAACCTGATAATGCTGCATATTATATACCACATTGTGGTCGGGTGGTCTCACGATGCATGACGAATTACCATCCGAGCCCACGGCCAAGTAGTTCTCTTCTCCATTACCTCTCTAGACGAAAGATTAGTTGATACCAAAAAGTAAAACGTTAGAATATGCTAATTAGATTATAAAAAAATGATGATGATTTTAAAACATGAATTAATAGAAGATCTAATTAGATTATAGAACATACAGCATCTTCTGAAATCATACGTCTTAGTTTCCTTTCATGAATTCTTGATCTTTTCTTGAAAATTTCATCTTCATATGTTCCAACCGCAAGGATGAACTTTTCCACCCTTTTTAGATTGATGTAACCTCCATTCCTATCATTAACCTGTTTCCAGTTTTTTTACATATTGATCAGGAAAACTGTAGAAACTAAATACTCAATGTCAAACATTACAACAAAATTGAGTTTTTAGGACCCAAATTTGTTGAAGTGTCCTAATAGACTGCCTTATGGGACCAAGTGTCCTATAAACATAGGAGTCCTATCAAAAGATGGGTTTATAACACTTTTAGATATAGGACATTTTATTTTTTGGCCCACTTAACGCTTTACACGCCCTAGAAGCCTGATGAAATTAAGTCTTTAAGTAAGCGTTCATTGTATAAATTTGTCATTTTTGAACTTCGATATATATAATACTAAGAGAATTGAAGAACTTGCAACACCAAAGGTGACTTGACTCACATGTGTTCACAGAAGAAAAAATTGAAATCTACTTATACCACACTAACCCTTTGCACATCAATGAGATAACCTCCGAGATTTTGGAACTCTTCCTTGTACACTTGAATCAACAGATCTATGGCACCCTGATCAAGAATCATGAAAACTTAATATTAGGAACTTGCTGCAATGATTCTGATTTACCATGAACATTAATCGCATCTTCGTAGTTTGTAATCAATACAGATTTCTCTGATGGTGTATAGTAGCTAAAATTAAAGAAAGCATCCAAACCTCGTAAATGTTCAAGGTCGGCATTTGAGGTAGAAAATCATTTCCAGCAAAAAAGCAGATGAAGATGAAATCATCAATCAATCGTTCGCTATCAGACTCGAAGTTCTCAGGCATATTCATCATTTTGAAATCAAGATTCAGATATTCTCTCAGTATCCAAACATGAAGAAACTGCATTAATGACAAACAATCAAATGGAAGCTACAAGAGAGCAAACTGCAAACATTTACATTCACCACCATACCTGGTAAGGCTTCTTCACCAAAGACTTCCTCTTATGAATTTCTTCAAGGTTGCTCATCTGTTCAACTGTGTCTTTCAGACCTTGGTGGTTCAGATCTTTAACAAGAACATTCTGACAACACAATAACTTAAATTTTATTTACAAATGATGCAAGAAATTACAAAAAAGAATGATCTTATAGGATTTTAAAGATGTAACCTCGTCTTGATGTCGAAGAATAGAGAAATGAACTTCGTGACTGGCAAGAGCCAGCATAATGAGGTCTGTATCCTGCAAATGATGCATATAGTCAGAAAGTTTCAGAAATATACTTCTCCGATAAATAAACCAATTTAAAAGATGATGAAAATTCGTGAAACATGATTCTACGCTTCGTAGAAAATATAAAACTGTAAAACATGAGTGAAGTATGAAGCCAGGATTATTTACCAAACCATACAATACGTGGCTCGTATCGGGGTTGTAACCTGGGCATGTACGTTGATGCCGTATGAATGACATGATTTTATGTTCTCCCTCACCAGGAACATTTGCATCAGAAAGAATTACCTATATATATATATATATATGTATATATAGATCAACATTAGGGAAAAATAAGAGCATGGCTTAACTAGCTTTTGTTAATGAAACCAACTAATTAATTTCTGAATTATGAAAATATAAGCATGAGTAACCTTTAACTGTTTCCATGTAGGATGGTTTGAGATACGCATACGAATGTAAGTTTGGAGTTGTTCAGATAACTCAGACATAAACTCAGTCCCCGGAGCAATTACATTCGAATCAGAAACTTCTGATTCCTCCATTGACAGGAGATCTCTACCTTGGAGATCATATTGTCTTCTCAATCTAGCTTCTTCCTTTCCCTATAGATACACATTAGACATCACATTAATTTCTACTTAAAATGAATACAGGCGGTGGCTTAATGCAGAAACAGCAATGAGCTGCAGGTGTTCAAGATCAGCGGTTAGATTTTGGTCATTTTCGTTATGGTATCAACCTGCCCATATATATATACACACACATACACACAAAAGTACTTGTAGAAGAAAAACATACAAGGATCTCACGGTCTTTGGCATTTCTGAATCGTCTGGTTCTTTGCTGATTCATTTTTGCTCTGGGCGCCACCCCATCTGCATGAGCACACGAAGTGACAAACTCAAATTTGAATGCAAATTTTTTCCCATTTTGGAAACTATATATAATAGTTTCGAATATATATATATATATACATCTGAAGTCGGAAATTGATTTTAACCGAACAAGATGACTTACCAATGGACATGAACAAAAGCTTTCTGGGTCTAACTATCAGCAAAATCCTGTCTATGCACTCAAATATGCTTTCAAATACCTTGTCATAAGTTTCTGGATATAACTGCATATCAACAAGAACAAACAAAGTTCCAGTTAAGTAGAAGAAATTGCAACTAAAAACGAAAACACAGTTTGCTAAGTTAAAGAAGAAAGATCAAAACAGGAGATGCCTCTTTAAGAAGAATATCATTGTCTTCAGGGTGGAAACATGGATGTATAATCTCATTCATATCCAAATACAGATTATCGAATTCACGGCCATTTGTGTTTGGAACGTCGTCTTCCTCCTCCACATTCACCACTATTTTCGGGTACTTTTCCAGCAGCCACCTGTAAAACCTTGGCACACCCATATTTTCTGAGAAGATGTCTAATTCTTGTATGTAAATTACATATGTGTCGGTCTGTTACATAAGCTGCAAATTAAACGACTCTTTGGAAGAAACAAAAACAATCATTAATGTGTCGATCTATCTACATCCACAAGAAACATGATTTTGCAACAAGTTTCCACAAATTTGCCCCTTAATTTATCTATATTATATTATAAAGTATTTGAGAAAAACTTTTAAAAACCATTTTTTATACATAAAGTATTGTATATTAATGTATATTATTTAAATTTTAAAATTACAAGTAAATTATGCATTGAGTACAACTTATTAAAACTCAATATTTGAATTCGTGTAACTACCTACGGATAAATATCTCATTTTAAAAAATAAAAAATCTAAAATATAATTAGAATAATTATCAAGTTTATAATCGAATGTTTAATTATTATCTTTAATAAAAATTATATTATTAAACCAAAAATAATTTCATTTGTTATTATACCTAAATTAAATTATAATAAAAAATTGAATTAAAGAAGTTACACCAAAAAAACGAAAACTATTAAATAGTTAATTTAATACTAATATCAATTTTTTTTTAAAATTACGCTATCTTCAAATTTATATTTCATTCAAAAAGAAAAACATTATCGCTTTCTCAAAACCATATAAAATTATATTACATTGATAGAGACAAATAATAAAAAATAAACATTAAAATGAAGATTTATCTCGCTGTACGTATTACGCGCGTACCCTTCTAGTAATTTATAATACATCCATTATTTTGCAAAATCTATACTACCTTAAATGCATAAAGTAACGTTTTATATATAAAGTCTTAAAAGTCCTAATTACAATTCATTTATGCATATGGTACAACTCAACAATGTTTCACCTTTTACAACTCATGTTTTTAAGTTTTATCTTTCCCATATTTAGTTTTGGTTTCCAATAGACATTAAAAATTTAAAGCATCTAACCCTTTTAAAAATCTTCTTTATGCATTGGGTACTATCTTTTTATACATAAAGTCTTAACTAACAATTTTTTATGCATTGAGAACTATCTTTTGATAAAATTTAAAAAACTCTTAATTATCTGAGCGTGATTAAAGGTTCAAGATTTCAAGCATGTTCCAGGTTGCAATCAATTCCAATTCTCCAGGTGGGCTATTACCAGACGTACTCCCTCTCCTCTCTCAGCTTACAAATCAATTCATCGGCTCCCTTCATCGCCTCTAGGTCTAGCAGTTTTAAGTTCCCAAAAGATGGGAAGGCAGTTCAAGGTTTCGAGGAGGCCATTTACACTCTCGAGAGGTCTATTACCTTGCTTTGCATATCTTGATTCTCAAAGTGGGAAATCGATTCAAGATTTAAGTCTCTTCATCTCTTGATTCTTCATATCAACTTCCACAATTGGTTTTGGTACAATATACATGAACAATTTCTATAGTTTTAAGTGATTTTAGGGTTCATCTTCTTGTTTTGCATCACTAGGTCTGCTTCTTGAACAATTTCTTGTGAAAGATCTTCAATGAATTGTAGGATTTAGTTTTCTATATTGTTTCTGTAGTTTTCTATATTGTTCTATATTCCATTTTTGAACTGGTAGATTCTTCATGAGTATGGACAATTAGGTGAATTGACAATGCTAAGTTATACTCAACAAATCTTGTCGGAGCTTTGCATATTTATATGCCAAGAATACTATCCATAAGCTTAACTGTTATCTTTCATATCGCTCATGTCTTCATATGTGAATAGTTCTTAACTGGCCAATTTATTTTAGGTATTTCAAAATTCGTTACATGGATATCAAAGGTGCAAACATCTTTGTCGAACCAAATGGAAGAATCAAAGTATGGCAAATTGACAAAGCATGTAAGTTTAGTGTTATATGTTAAAATGTGGTTAAATAATTGTACAATATATTTTTTAGATCTGCTCGCGTTTTTTCTCTCTAGCCGATTCTTTTCTTCCTTTTATATTTAATTGCTAAGATTAAAAGATAGGTTAGATTTTGTAATATTCTTTATCTTATAAATAAAACCATTTGTTTGTAAGTTTGTGCATGGTATCAGAGCTACACTTTCGTGTAGGATCTGTTGTTCTTGATCATTCTTTCATTTGATCTCTGCATATGCAAAGTTCTGTTCATCTTCTTGGCAGGTAAGTCCTCTCCTTGTTTTTTCTCGTTTCCAGTCTTTTGTCAATTCGCACGAGTAAGTGTGCAGTTGCGTGGATAGGGTTCCGAGGCTTTCCAATTCTCGATTTTATTCCATCCACCTCTTCTATACTTGTGGTTTTTGAAGAAAAAAAAAAGGGAGTTGTTTCGTTGAAAGGTTTTCCTTCTTTGGATCTACACTTTTATCTCAAAAATAGATCCGTTGTTTTTTTGTGATCTGTTGGTTTGTTTTTTTTTTTCAAGAAAAAGGTAGATATGTTTGTAGGTTCAAGTAAATGCTCAACTGTGTTGATAGGTTTGAGATCTCGAGATCTCGATTTACCATCCACATTGAAATACTTGTTTTGAATTTTTTTTAAGACCTGGTCCTTCCAAGATCTGTGTCTTTTGTTATTTTCTTTCAGCTCTGGTCCATCCGGATCTGTGTCCCGCTTTTGTTTACAGGTGATAAGCATCAATTTAGTTGATGTTTTACATCAGTTTTTAGTAGTTCTCGGTTATTTTAAATCCTCAAAAAGTCCAAATGTCAAGTATTTTTTTTTTTATAACTTATCTTGCTTAAAAATATGATAAGTAGAAAATAAGATCGTAAGTACAAACCCTAAATCAAACTGTGAGACGAGGGTGGCAGCAACATGACACCAAAGTTGGGGGATTTTGGACTTGAGCCGGAATCAAAGATACAAGGATTTATTTTACATACACGAACATACGTTAGGTCTGGGGAAGGGGGTTTCTCGGAGTTACAGTGAGGGACGAGGTTCATTGGAGCAATGGGGAGAGGGGTTCATTTGAGCAATGGAGGCAGGGGATTCATCGAAGGTTTTCAGAGATCGTAAATGAAAAACTTGGTATTTTATTTGAAAATTAAATAATGTTAAAATAAGGAAAATGCCAAAAGGGTAAAATGGTCTTAAATTTACTATGCAAGGTGGTAATTTTAGTGTCATCACTAGTCCAGGAACCAATTCCAAAACAGATTGCAAACCACAAGTCCTTTTCTCTAATAAATGATGTTTTGGGACCAAACTTGTAAAAAGTTAACATGCCAATAGGGACCAAAATTGTAATGTACTCAATAATTTAAATGAACTTTTGTCATCTTGCTAAAATCTATATATATATATATATATATATATACTAGTATGGAACCGCGCGTTGCGCGGTAGTATGAGTGATTTGATTAATGATCTGATAATTGTCTATATAAATATATATTAATTGTTAATAGAATCATCAACAAATCATATTCAAATAATTCGAAAAAGTTAAATAAAATATAGTTAGTGAAATTTTAATATAAACACACATATATATATTGAGAGAGAGATTT